TTAGTGCCTTTAGTTTCTCACTGAAATTTGGGATGTTTGTGTGGGGTATCCGGTAAATGGCACCGATTGTTATAGGCGTCTTAAGGTTTTTTACAGTAAAATTAGCAAAAATTTATTCTCCATATTCATCACTAAAGCAAGTGGTGCTAATACAAGATAATTGGTTAGAGTAATAGATTGCAATACCACCCCCAACTTGGTATGGTCTGCAGTTGTGGATCGCTGTGTATCCTGGCAGAGGGTAGATATCTATTATGTCCTGCTTAAGCCAGGTCTCAGTAAGAATAATGCAGGAGAAGGGTGTCTTTAGTGATTCAAGGAGTGCCAGGAGGTCATCATAGTGTTTGCAATTTAACCCTTTGAGGGTTTTCGTCGTACTAGTACGTCTTACGCGTAGGGGTTTTTGACGTACTAGTACTCATAAATTCTAGCGGCCTCAAATCTAGTGGGAGAAAGCTGGTAGGCCTTCATATGAAAGAATTGGTCTATGTGGTCAGTGTGCACAGTCTAAAAAAAATCCTGCAGCACACAGTGCATAATGAGAAAAAAAAAATTTACCATTTTTTTTTAATAAATCAGCGACTTTGCAGTGTATTTTCGTATGGTATTTATTGTTGTATTCTAGTTTTCTTGGTCTCATTTTATAGAATGGAAGACATATTACAGAAATTGAGATGATTTTGACTGGTTTTACAAAGAAAGGTGCCTTGAAATTGAGCTCAAAGTAGCAGAAATGTTCGATTTTTACCAAACTTCAAAAGTAAACAAATTGTGCCAAGCGTGCAATACACGTCAACTGGTGAGTCTAATATTCTTTCTCAAGTGCACCAATAATATTTATACCATTTTTTACACTAATGCAGTAGTCTGCATAACAGTAAATCTTCTATTTTTTGTGAGAATAAAAATTCAAAGTGGGAAGCAAAAGAATATAAGAGGGGCCTTGAGACGTGACTAATGACCAGAGGAAATGTCATTTTAGTGCCAGGAATGTCTTTCTTGTTTATTCTGGACCCTATTCGGAAATTGGCATCTTTTGAAATTTGTGTGAAATTGGCAAAATTGCTAAATTCTGACCACTGTACTGGATAGTTGAATTTCATAAATGAGTGGTTTCTTGCACCCATTCGATAGAAAAAAATGGAGTTCTAGCGAAATATTCATGTTTTTTGTCGACTAGTACAGTGAAATTGGCCGAAAATGGGGCTCAAAGTGGGCCAAAATCGCCGAATGCGCAAACATCGCCGAGGACCGCTAACTTTGCGAGAGCATAATTCCGTAAGTTTTCTGTCAAATTTCAAACTTTTGGTGTCTTTATGATCGGGAAAAGATTCTCTATCTTTTCATAAGAGAAAATAATTTTTTTTTTTTTTTTAAATTTGGCCGACCCTGAGAACGAGTTTCGGAGAGGGCCTGTCGACCCTCAAAGGGTTAAGGACCTGATGTTGTAGTTAAGTACTAATAGACTTTTAGCATTGTTTAGGATAGTGCTGGCTTGTGATGCTGTGTAGTAAAGGCAGTTACTTTCCAATAGGTTTTGATTGTCAGATTATGGAGGTTTAGATCAGGATCAACGTAATCAATCATCTTCTAGGTTTAAATTATGGTTATTTATATCCTGAGTTGTGGGTTGAGTTTTAGTACTGATATCTGTAGTGGTGGGAAGTTTGGACAAGTATATAGCTATAGCATTTTGGTCATGTAGAGTATAGTCACTAATACACATAATGGAGTTGGTGTTGTCTATGTGTTGTGATGGAATGAGCTAAAGTACAACTAGGTATAAACAATATATAAAAATACAAATTAAAAATAGCACAGACTCTCACTTGTAATTGCACTAAGGTCTAATGTAATGACTTTGGTATAGTCTATGTATTGAGCTAGAATGAGCTATAGTACAACTAGGTTTAATTAATAATATAAAAATACAAATTAAAAATAGCACCAGACTCTCACTAGTAATTACCACATATGGTCTAATATAATGAATTTGGTATTGACTATGTATTGAGCTAGAATGAGCTATAGTACAACTGAGTTTAATCTAATGATATAAAAAAGGCACAAGACTCTCAATTGTAATTGCACTAAGGTGTTATATAAGTTGTTTACAAGAATTAGAGTATAACTAGATTTAAATTGACAAGATAAAATATGCAAGTTAAGGTAGCAAAATAATAAAAAAAAAGTAGAAAAAAAAATATATATGAGGTAGTTGGTACTAGTTAGCAAAAGATAGTTAAGGGCCTTGAACAATAATATAATTGAAATATACACTAATTGCACACACAATATAGTCACTAAGATATGAAAACAATCTTAGAATAGGACTTATAATATAAACTTATAATATAAAAATACAAATTGAAATGGTACTTGCAATTGCACTAAGGTCTGGTATAGGTTGTTGACAAGATTAAGAGTATAACTAGATTTAAATTGACAAAATAAAATTCACAAATTAAAGTACCAAAAGAATAATAAGTAAAAAATAACAATGGCAATGTCTTGGGCGACATTGGTATGAACTCAGTTAATTGGTAAAAAGTTACAAGCAGTTAGTTCTCTAGATGAATGGGACTTTTCTGATTGTAATAAACTGAAGGAGGTAGTTTTACTTGCTTATCAGATGTTGCCAGAAAGGTACTGGCAGAAGCTTAGAGGACTAAAGTTTCAGGCAGGCTAATCTGTGGTGGAATACAGTATGGAGAAGATGTCTCACAAAATTGTAATGACTATTGCAAACAAACCATACCATGGGTGGGGTTAGAAGATTTCACTTCTGAACAAATGGTATCACTCAAAAGGTGTGGTAGACTATTATGAAGGTTTATTTTCCCTAATTTTGTAGAGGATCTTTTGAGAAATGTTCCTCCTGACCTTAAGGCATATCTTGAGAAGAATCTTGATGATTTTAATCATGCTTTAGAGCTGGGTAATAGATTTTTAGCTAACTAAAAACTTGGTAGTAGTTACCACACAGAACCTATTAATAATGGTAAGTTTTCTCCACCCATCAGGAATAAATTTCAGAAGTTTAATTCACATTTTCCAGCCTAATAACCACCAGAGTTTTAATAAGCCTAATTCTCCAGTACGTACATGCCCAGGAAAGTTTTAAGTCAGCCGTCATAAATCCAGGACTACAGGGAACAGGTAGGAAGAGCCCAGTTCCCCAGGGTCAAGGGCCCCAGCCTATGCCTAGTGGGCTGGGGCTTTTAAACCTTATTACTGTACATATCACAATAAACAGGGCCACCTACAGCCATATTGCAGAAAGATGCTTAGGGACCAGGCTACAGCAGATGCATAACAATTTTGTTAAAACCAAGAATTACACTGGTTATTTAAGTGTATGTAGTTGTCTGAGGGATAATGGTTCTCATGAAAGATGCTGTTTTTTGGCATCAGTAGATGCAGTTCTGAACCCATTGCAGGAACAGACACCTGTTCTTCTATGTTAACCTTACCTTGGGGGAATTTTATCCAAAGCTTGACAGTTTATTTTACAAGGAATTCTGAACATGGCCTCATAAATCTAGTGAAAGTCCCTGCTCATGCCTTCCTTTTCTGGGTTAGCAGCAGACGTTTATGTTATGGGGCACAATGGAGCATCTGTCCTTCTGTCATTGAAGTTCCACAAGGACTCTCATGACAGCTCCTTGGTTGAACAAAGTCAATGAGAAGGAAGCCCACCAGAGTTGTGATGGTGTGTGTGGGACCCTTGTGAAGCAACAAATCTGGTCGAAGGCGGTTCCATCTGTGTCTTGCGACAGATGATTTTTTTTTGCATCATCTGTAAATATTGTCCATATAATTGCTGCTGTCATTAGCTCATTCATTTTTATCTATTTTACCATGCTATAAGCAAGTGAGCTAGGCAAAAGGCAACTCTTGTACTCTTTATATATAGGGAGAGGGGTAACATGGTATTTGAACCTGAGATTTGAGCTGTATTGTCTCTGCAAACCTTCCTACAGTATTGTGTTGCAAATCTGCAAAGTGATGTGGTTGTGATTTGAGGTGCAATAAGCATATTTAATGGTGGTGGGTGTTACACTCCAAGGGTTGTAACCACTCAATTTCCTTCTGGTTAGAGCATAACAACATTGGACAGAGAGGTTAGGGTAATAATAGTAATCCTCCGGAAATCTAATTTTAATGAAGTATATTTATAATACAACAAAAAGCCAAAAACAATATTATACGAATTATCGTATATAAGTTAAGAATGCTTGTTTGTTCTATATTGTCCAAAATATATAAGGCTTTTATAACACATGATTAGGAGGAGATCCTTGATATAACATATATGTACAGAGATTACTTTGGTGAATAAAGTCTTATTTCCCAATTGGAAGCCGTCAGAATAAAACAGAATATGTCCAGGCCGGATAATCAACCTTGGCCAGTTACCAGAGACGAGCAGGAGTGTTCTCGTTGGCTGCTACTTCTTCACTGCTCGTCCCTCAACCTTGAGCATACAGGTCAGGTGGGTCACGTGACGTGACTCACCAACACTCAGAGTAGTTGACCCAAAAGGGGGGGGGGGGGGGGGGTAACCACTGAACACCACAGATTAAACATACACCAGTACACCGGGCAGAAGGCATGTTACTATACCTTCAATTAAACTTATCATGGCCATGTTACATAAATAATTATAATAATTGATAATAAGAATAAGCCTTAATAATATAAGGACGTTCATTTCCAATTTAGCTATTAAAGGAAATAACCGCAATGTAAAATTAAAGAAAGGTTAACAATAGGGGCATGACAGTGGGTTATGCCACCCACATTATAAAGAACCTAAACAGGCTTCTTCAGAGGTTCTGTACCTGGATTTCCCAGGGGTAGTACATGTGGTTCTTGTTCTTTTTCAAAGACCATTATGGTCATAACTGGTATGAAGGGAGTTTAGACTTGCTGGTAACATGTTTGTGGCCAACTGCTTCTTGTGTGTGCAGTCTCTTAACCTTTTTTTTTCTTCCCAGGAACATTGTAGGGGCAGAGATCATCATAGATCATTGATGGACCTATGAATTGGAAAACAAATCCTTCCTGAAAACCAGCAATGATGAAAAGACAAGAAAATGACCAAAGCAATCTTCACTGAATCACATGAAGGCCACTGTCCCAACAAAAGTCAACTAGAGGAAAGAACTGATGGTATGCATGTTTTTGTGTAGTCAAATCTCCCTTAAGCCATAGAAATGTGCCCCATTGAAGCATCAAACTTCAGGAATAATGGACCTTACTGCTTAACGGTTTTGTTAAAATCAAGGATTACACTGGATATTACAGTCTATGTAGTTGTCTGGGGATGATGGTTCTCTTGGAGCATGCTGTGTTTTGGCATTATTGCATTAAATTGTAGATGAAGTTCTGAGCCCACTGCAAGAACACAAACTTCTTCTCCTTACCATGGAGGATTTTATCTAAGGCTAGACAGCTTATTTTACGAGGAATTCTGGCCAGGGCCATGTAAATCATATGGAAAGTCCATAATAATGCCTTCCTTTTCCAGGGTCACAGCAGACATTTCTGTTTCTGTGCCTTTTTGCTTGTAAAGTAGGTCTCTTTAAAGTTACCAAGTATTGTTGATTTCTATCTTTGTAGGATTTTAGAGCTTACCTGGTTGTTATAACTTAAGTTAGTTTGTAATATGTGAGATAAACCTGCATCCCATTTTGAATATCTCTTGGAGAGATTTAGGACTTTTGAAGTAAATGTAAATGACTAGAAGTCATCTGTTACCCATTTTAGTATAGCTTTGTCGAGTCATGATGTAGGCAGTGGCAAGTAAATTTGCCAAAGTTTTAGTTTTGAGTATTATTCATTTGCTCTTGATTAGAAGTTGCGGTAAAGATTGTAGATTTGAAGAGGCTTTTAAGTGTGTTAAATATCACTTATTTGGTGCAGGCAATAGTTTGTTTCTTAGATTTTTGAAATGCATTTGTTTCTGTCTTACAGGTTGATGAATGTGATTTTGGAGTCTGGGGAGCCTTAGCCAAGAAGACGTAGCCAGAAGCAGCGAGTGGAAACCAGAGGCAGTGAGTGCAAACCTGAGGCAGCAAGTGGAAACTATAATAGGAAACCTGAGGAAAGCTACCTGGTATATATTATTGTTTAATTGTTAAAGCGAAGCAGATTGATGTCTTAGAAATATTTATGAAAGGTTACTTGGCTGTTATAATTGTAGTTGTTCATGCGTGGGATGAACACGTGTCCTTTGTTGAATATCTGTTGAATAGGTTTAGGACATTTGAAGTAAATGTGAATGACTTCAAGTCATGTGCTGGCCATTTGAGTACCAGTTTATTGGGTCTTGAAGATAGTGGGAAAGTGCCATGTAAATTTGCCAAAGTGTGTGAAATTAAAAAATAACATACACTCTGCCTGTGTGTGTCCCTCCCTTCCTCCCCTTCTCTGTCTGTGTGTGTGTTCCTCCCTCCCTTCCCTCTTTGCCTGTGGGTCCACCCCCCCTCTGCTGTGTATGTCCCTCCCCCTTGCTGAGCTTGCCAGGCTCAGGGAAAACCAAGTCGCCCATCTGCGTTACTGTCCTGCCAAGAAAGACAAATCAGGAGCTGATGTTGCGAAAGTGTTAATATGCTGGAACCACAAAAAGACCATAAAAGTTGATAGGTGGAAGTTTTGCTGGTTGTTAGAAGGATAGAAAGAATGGCAGTGATAGTGTTTCAAAACGATTGTTTGCAAAAAAGGCAAATAGTTGCATGCCGATCTGGTACAGAAAAAGCCTGAAACCAGTGCTGAAGTGAAGTTAAGCCAAGGGTGGTTTGACAGATTTAAGAAGAGTAGTGGCATACACATGTGTAAGACATGGTGAGGCAGCCAGTTCAGACAAACGGGCAGCTGAGAAGTTTCTACAGGAGTTTAAAAGGAAAGTACATAGACAATGAAAAATCAACCCCAGCAAGTGTCGTTGTGACAAAACAAGCTTGTTTTGGAAATGCCGAAAGGACTTACATCACACAGGAGGAAAAGGCACTGCCAGGACACAACTATGAAGAGTAGGCTTACTCTTTTGTTGTGCTAAGCTAGTGGTGATTTAAGTGAAGCCTTCTTATGTAATCAGAAAATCCCAAGTGCTTAGAAACAATGTTTTTAAGAACAAGTGTGTCTTGTGGAAAGCTAATAAAGGCATGGGTCACAAGACAAATTTTCAAAGAATGGGTCCATGAAGTGTTTGGCCCCAGTGTGAAAAATACCTCCTGGAAAAGAAATTGCCACTCAAGGTGCCTTCTGTTAATGGACAATGCTCCTGCTCATCCTCCAAACTTATTAGACCTCTTGTCTAGGGACTTCAGTTTTATAAAAGTGAAGTTCTTGCCTCCTAACACCACTCCTCTCCTCCAGCCCATGGACCAGCAGGTCATTTCTAACTTCAAAAAACTCTACACAAAAGCAGTGTTTGAAAAGTGCTTTGAAGTGACCACAGACACTCAGTTGATGCTTAGAGAGTTCTGGAGGAATCACTTCAATATCTATAGCTCCATAAGCCTTATAGGTAAGGCTTGGGAGGGAGTGACTTCCAGAACTTTGAACTCTGCTTGGAGACAGTTGTGGCCAGATTGTGTCCAAAAGAGGGATTTTGAATGGTTTGAGACTGACCCTGACCCTGACCCAGCTGACCCTCTGCCTGCTGTGGACTCTATTGTGGCATTGGGGAAGTCCCTGGGGCTGGAGGTGAGTGGTGAGGATGTAGAAGAGTTGGTGGAGGACCACAGGGAAGAGCTAACCACTGAAGAGCTTCATCTGGAGCAGTATCAGACCACAGCTGAGAACCTTGCTTCAGAGGAGGAGGAAGAGGGAGTGGATGAGGTGCCTTCTTCAAAGATTAAGGAGATTTGCGCCAAGTGGAATGATGTCCAAATGTTTGTGGAGAAGTACCACCCTGAGCAAGCTGAAACAAGCCATCTTTGCAACAAGTTCAGTGACAAAACCATGTCCCATTTTAGGGAAATGTTAAAGAGGCACCAGAAACAGAGGACTGTGGACAGTTATTTTGTGAGACAGATGTCCAGTGACTCTCAAGCTGGTCCTAGTGGCATTAAAAGACAGAGAAGGGAAGTAACCCCAAAGAGGACTTTACCTGAAGTCCTCATGGAGGGGGATTTTCCTTCCAAACACTAACCCGAACTCCCTCTCTCCTCCTCCCTGTCTTCCAGATGCCATCACCAATCTTCAATAAGGGTAAGTAAAAATGTTATTTTATATTTATATACATAATTGAACACTATAGTATTTGTTGTGTGTATGTAAAACTGTAATTAATCTCAATAAAATGTATTTTTTTGTGAATATTTTTGGGTTTTTGGAACAGATTAATTGTATTTCCATTATTTCTTATGGGAAATATTGCTTCGATTTTCAGACTTTTCAAATGTAGAACTAGCTCCTGGAACTGATTAAGTTCGATATTTGAGGTTCCACTGTAGAATGAATTGGAGAGTGTATAAATCTGCAATGGAGGGAAAGGGGGGGTAGGTGTCGGCTAGGAAAGGCGGAGGGGTCGGCATAGGAAAGGAGGTTTTGTGTACGAGGGACTTGAACTTCCAGCAAGCATGAGTGAGCATGTTATATAGGAGCGAATGGTTTTTAGGACTTGATGTGCAGGGGAGTGTGAACAAGGAAATTTTTATGAAGGGATTCAGGGAAACTGGTGGGCCATATTTGAGTCCTGGAGATGGGAAGTACAGTGCCTGCACTCTGAAGGATGGGTGTTAATGTTGCAGGTTTATAATTGTAGTGTAAGCATGCCTCTGGAAAGACAGTGATCGAGTGAATGATATAAAATTTTTTTTTTTTTGTGGGGGGGGGCACCCTGCCTTGGTGGGAAATGGCTGATATGTTAAGAATAATAATAATTTGGTTTACTTGTCTGATAACATTGAGGTTGTGCCAAAGTAGTGGTATTGGCTAATGTTATTGCTGTTATTATCAGCTAATTTTGATGGCATGGGTATCAGTCTAAACTTTAATATTGATATGTGTAGGTAGTGGGTTGGTAGACAGCAACCAACCAGGGAAGTATGTATAAATAAGTTTCTAAAAAAAAATCCCAATGCCTATATAACAGACATTGCTCCAGAAAAATTAAACAGACTGAATAATCCCTGGCTAACACCAAGCATCCTCAAATCCATTAACACAAAGCATAAATATGAAAATCAGTATAGAAGGGGTCAAATAACTAGAGAAACAGTCAAAAAGTTACCATCACCCACTTACCAGCCTGATAAAAAGGGTTAAAAAAATTGTTTATGAAAATAGTTTACATAACATCAAAGGTGATTAAAAAACCCTGGAAACTCTATCTGAAATTCTTGGAACTAAAAAGTTATCCAAAAATAAAGAAATAAAAACTAACAAAATCGTTTAACCCCTACTCACTCCAACCGAAACAGCAAACAGACTTAATGTTTTCTTCTCCACCATAGGTAAAAATCTAGCAAACAAAATACCAAGCACAAACACCCGTCCATCAGACTGCCTCATAGGTACCTACCCAAATACGCTATTCCTAGCTCCAACCAACCCCATTGAAGTTACGCTCATCATAAACACCCTTAAAAACAAGGCAGGAGACATAAACAACTTGCCTGCTTTTATGTACAAAAAAGCTTCTCAAGTATTGTCACCAATTATTGCAACGCTCTTTAACAAATCCATTGAATCATCTACCTTCCCAACAATCCTCAAAATAGCGAGGGTCACTCCGATCCATAAAGGAGGTGACCAAGCTGACTTGAATAACTATAGACCAATATCTAACTTACCACTGCTCTCTAAAATCTTTGAAAAATTAATTCATAGACGGATCTATTCCTACTCGTTTCACACAACATATTAAACCCTTGTCTGTTTGGATTCAGGAATAATAAAAGCACAAATGATGCTATCATACACATGCTAGAACTAATATATACCGCACTTGAAAAGAAAGAAGTCCCGCTGGGCATTTTCATTGATTTACGTTAAACTTTCGATACAGTCGACCATGAACTGCTGTACTCCAAATTAATGCACTATAGTATCAGAGGCCACTCCCTCA